CATTTGCCGTTCTATTCCCTGCCACAGTTTGATCGAACTGCGTGTTGCCAATTTTCGTGAATTTTGTTTTTTTGCCGGGGATCTTCTGGCAAACGCCCACCCCTTCTCTTTGGCAATTTTCCATGTTCAAGACCCTGGGCTTATACCCGGATAAATACGGTAATATTAAATAATGTCTACATTGTGTAACCGTTCATTTCAAAATAAATAAACTAAATGCATTTTTTATTGTAGTTCAATTGTACTGTATGATGTGTAGAGGGACACCTGGACAAAAATTGTAAAGTAGTTTATGGCCAAGAATAGTGAAACATATCAATCTTTCCTGTTGCCATTTTGTAAGTTAGTTATTTGATACTGACCAGATCTAGTACTAGGTAACGTGTGTTTACACTCATTAAAGATCATTATTTCATTTAATTGCAGAGCTTTTTTTTTTATTTATCGCATGTAAATACTGTTTACCGTAATTCATTTTTGGAGGACGTAAAACTATTTTGTGATGTTCATTTTAGAACTGAATGACTATGTTCCCACTCTGACATCAAAATTAGATTATACACAACGTTATTGGCATTCTATTTTGTATTTGGACCAACTTAAAGAAAAACATAATGGACGATTGCATTTGTTTCAGACTGGAAATAAGAAGAGGTGTTGCATTTTTTAACAACTTGCGAATAAACACTGCAATGTCTTTGACAACAATAATGCTGATGGTGCGTTTTTATGAACCAATTGATAACAGAAGCGATATGTATGCTGAACACTACTAAAACGGCAGCTTTCGGTGTATGAAAAGAAAGATGGCAACTAGATTTGAGTATGCAAATCACACTACCATACATATGGTCAGATGCATCCTCACATTCATAAAGAAGAAGAAAAAGGACAAGCTTTCTCATTGGTTACAACCCTTGATCAAAATTGTTGAAAAAATCATGGGTGTATTTCGTGAAAGGCGACAATAATTGAAGTTGCCGTTGAAAGCGTTACATATGATTATTCCAATGGATGATTATTTTTCTCATCCATGTACATTACCCAAGCATTTAAATATTTCACTAAGCACATCAATGTCATTTTACATATATTGATGATCTTGTCAGCTTTGTTTTCGTACTAAAAACGGTATTGTTTTTCTAGCCAGCACATTGTTGGATTTATTCTATGCATGTACCAAGGGAAGTATGAACATTTCTAATTTACTGTTGTGAACAAATTAATGTTGTTAACCTGTGGTGGTTCAAAATTTGGTCTGTACCAATTACCGATTACATCCTCCGTCATCCAGTCTTGTTGGATTCCATCTTGTCTCCCTAAAATCTAGAAACAAACAAAATCTTTTTTAGTCGAAAAAAAAAAGGAAGACAAAAACTTTTGAATAATCTTTTGAATATGAAGAGAATCTCTCACTGAGATCACAGACGATATCAGACAAACCTCTGTTAAGAGTCTTTTAAGACCATCTACTTCATCCTCACCAGGAGCTAGTTCTCCGCCTGGCCTGGAAAGAAAAAGAGAAAGAAATGCAAATTATGAACACTTCATTTCAGCATATTTTACAGATTAATAGACACTAATAATATGATACTAATTCGTCATACATTGATGACAGATGAGATTGACGACAGATAATCACATGTCTCCAATTATTGCAGTTTGCTCCTGAACATTTCGGTCTAAGGCCTAAGCGAGAGTACAGATGAAGAGTTACAGCTACCCCACACGTGTTCGATACATAGCAACAAATATGATTCACTCACGCACACATTAGTCTCCATCAAAACAAACAAGTAATAAACAAATCAAGTTTCATTTTGATGAAGCAACATTCAATGTTTGTTTCCCTTAACACAGAAGTCTCATTATTCTTTCAGCAATCATTGTTTAATATTAACGCTGTGTATATTTTTCAGAAACAGGTCACAGTATCAAGTGAGATTTTTCAGAAAACGCACTCAGCTCCTTCATCAAGCACGAAATGCAACATAACCCCCCCCCCTAAAATCAGCTGATCACAGACAGTTACCATGACAGATTGGATCTGAACTCGCTACCCATACAAACACATCAAGATATGGAAAAGGATCCCATTTTTAGCAACCTTTCAAACAATTGTAAATCAAAGAAAGCTTAGAAAGAACTCCCGTGTGCTGAGGGAATAGGGATCATGATGTAATATTCGGGAATATTTGAAAATGATAGACAAATTATGAATAATCTATTAAATAAGGAGCCACCAGTAGTCATCTACACACATAGACATCGTATACCTACAATAAGCCTACTTAAAAATATGCATAAAAAGTTTACACAAAATTGAAACATTAAAAAGAAAACTGAAATAATTCATAAAACATTAGGGAAAATGAAATGCAACGAAAATAGTAAACAAATAAATGCCCAAAATAAAAATATTTTAGAAATTTAGTTAACACGGAAAACGTAAAGTAGCAAGAACAACTATATAAATTTCTGACAAACAATCACAATCTAAATATCTAAAATTCAAACCACTATCTTATTATCAATATGTGTGTCAATAAATATTATATTTATTAATTTTCAGTTACGTATATTAATAAGGAAGGCATCACCAATCTTTTAGATTGGTTTGTAAATCCCGAAAATCGACATGGTAAAATTACAACCATCGTACAGCTCAGTACCATAACAAATACTAATAATTTACGGCAGACGTACTTCTCGGTACGTAAAATTTAAAGTAATCCCCAACGCGTCTCATTTGTTACTGCGTATAAATTTACACTATCTGGGGCACGTCGCACGCGATGAGTACCAACCAAAAATACACACAGGACATTTTAAGTGGCTCGAAACAAAACCTATTCGCTAATTTTCGTTTCGAAAACATCTACGACGGCTTAAAACCCTGCAGCCCGCCCCGCATGTTTTTTTTTACCAGGCAGGAGACGCCGGTCAGCGTGGCGTTGCCCCAGTGGTTTCCACTGTGCATCCAGTAGTTAATGCCGACATCACGGTCTATACATTCCACATGAAGCATGGTATTCAGCTTAACCATATTTTCTAGCAATAAATATGCCTTCCGATTTGAGGGATATCGTGCCGTGTAATATTCAATCACAGTCACTCTACTAGTAGAGTGACTGTGATTCAATGAAAAAAATAGTGAAACACGAGGCTCACGCTGGGGGCCCACATAAGGTGTTGCAATAGTGTAAATATAACAAAGCCAGACACCGATTGTTTCCTTTGCTAGGTAAAATCAATGTACAGAATAATCGGATGAAACAACTAAAGTAAACTAAAATATATTAGAGCCAATGAATTCGTAATTTCCGGCGAAAAGAGCCGGGAAAAAATACCCCTCATAACAAATCACCGTGTTGAGGGGGTGGTGAACAAATGAGACACAGATTGTCAAATTGTTTTGGTAATCATCGCATGTCGATTCATGTCATTTGTACAGGGTACTCTGACACAAAAATAAGGTAAACCAGCTTACTTAGTGCTAATGATTTTGTGATTTCCCACACGAAGAACTTTCTCAGAAATATATCCGACATGCTGATCAGCCCACCAACAATCGGCACCAAAATTGATCACTCCTGTCATGGTAAATTTGGCATGTTTTACGAATTTTTTTCTCCAAATCCCAACATATATTTACACATGTAGGCGAATTTTGTCAGCTCTGTGTAAATAGATATTTTTTTACTGGGAATGTGCCCCATTTTACGTACGAGAAGCCCATACACAACGTAGTAGTCATCAACACACATAGACATCCTATACCTACTAATCGACTTGATAGCTTCGTAATTTGGGGAAGGTGGGGGTGAAAGTGCACCATGCAAGTTTCCAAATGTGTAAAGGAAAATAAAGGAAAGAAGTACAATACAATGTTGGTAAGCGATACAAAGGAAATATCTCCTTACGGCAGCGACTTGATACAACTACATTGATGCTGGAGGTCACCATATTTGTTCTCACGTTCAATAATACGATGATAAATCAGGATTCACAAGTACAACGAATTTACACAACATTTTACCATGAAATCGAACCTACCAACCATTTTCATATCTTCAACACTGCCATGGTTTTGGCGATGATGAATCTCAAATTCATTATTTTCTTGACTGGGCTCAAACAGGGTTCAATGTTCCGTGGCTTGAGTGTAATTGTACACCACACGTGAATGTAAACTAGCTTGCACAGTAATTCGTTTCACAGTCATTGAGGTTATACATTTGTTCAATTACTTATTTATTTATGTATACGATAATAAAAAATCATACATGTAATTTTTTAGATCTTTTCATAATGTAAACTGATACATTTCATCTCCCGAGCGCTTGCTTCGATTTTGTACAACACACTGGAAATAACAAAATGGCCGACACCATCATAAATTGCTGGTCATAAAAAATAGAATACGCATGCGCATCATTATGCAAATTAGTCCACTCATCGATTCCTATTAGTTGTATTCATGCAATTGGGCATGAAAAACTTTTTAAAAAAATAATAAAAAAATACATAAAAATGCTAAATTTTAATTAAAATGTAAAATACAACAATGAATTGCAGCAGCCAATCATTAGTAACATTCTTACCAAGTTACATAAAAATCGTTTTAATGCTTCTTGAGATATAACTGAAATAGCTTAAAATTCACACATTATTATGCAGACGAGCTCATTAATATGCCCATGTCAACCCAAAACTAATCAAATCTGCGCATTGCCCCAGACAAGCTATATACCAAGTTTCATTGAAATCCGAATATTGGTTCTTGAGATATCGATGGAACAGACACACACACACACACACACACAGACACAGAGAGACACACAGACAGACACACTAACTGCAAAGACTCCCTTTTTGTGCTTCGCACACGGGAGTCAAAAATGTTCTCAGGTAAAATCAGGTGATCAAAGTATTGTGATTTCAGCGTTTTATTTTTCATGGTAAATTTGATTAGGATGTGTGACCTTCATAGCCGTGTTCTCACTGGCAAACTTAATTTGGATCGAGATAAAGGTAATCTTCGATGCTTGTGTAGGGATTAATAACACTGTGTTTATATCAAGAAGGGAATCTAGTTGGCATATGACGAAATTACGTCCTCATTTGTCAAAGCACTGAAGTAACATTTTCTCCTAACAATGGTCTCATTCCCTAACAGGAAGTACAGTAGAACAAAAATTTTCATGAACATGGAATCATCTTTAAAGTTGACAAATGCCAATACTAAAAATTCGATTGACTTTTTATGAAAATCAATGTGAAATCACCTATAGGACGACGTCAAAAGATTATAATGTCAGATAAAAAACTTATTTGCTTTAGTTTGGGGGTGGGGGTTTTTGACCTCAAAAAGTTTCAATCCTACAAAAACGATTTTATTTTTTAATGAAGTCAAAAAAATCTTGGAGTATTTGTAGTTCGTTTTTTTTTTCTATCCAATCATGGACAAAAATAACAGAAAATGAAAAAAATAAAAATTCAAGACGAAAAAATGGTTTGGTCCGAGTGTTAAATATGTGCATCAAATGAGGTCAATTTCAGGGCATGGACCTAGTTTACGCCCATCCGACAACCAACTGCTATGCCATACTACTGTCTGATTATCAATTTGTATTTAATGGTGAATGTAGTCTGATGCCATGATCAGTATTTATCAATTAAAGGGGAACTAAATAGAGCCCAATTTGGTGTTTGTATTTAATTATAAATTTGAAAAAAAAAATTTAAAAAAATGATTATCTTCAGAGTTATGATGATTTAAATATGAGAAACCATAAACCTGCGAAGGACTTCCGTTTGCGCCATCTTGTCGTAAAAAAACGCCCTCATGAGGTATAAACAGGAAAGGTAACAAAGCATGATGACGAAATGGTATCTGATTAAATATAAACAACTTAGGGAGCCATAGTTGGCTCGACTAGTTCGTAGGTGGAAACATTTTCGTCCATGTATTCACAGGGCTGCACTGGCAAATCATGGGACAATTGTCACACGTGTTCATGCCTCCGGG